CGGGAGTTTTCCAAGACACGCCTAACAGTATCCTCCGAGACATTAACCTGCGAAGATGACTTAATTTCCCGACACGACACTGCAGAGTTGGATGCTTTCCTAAGGATACGGCGGTTATTCCGATCGGGCAGCAAAAGAGGATGTCCAGAGCTCTTCTCAACTCAATATGCTGTAGGTTCCCTTGGAAAAAATTGTTGATAGAATGATGAGTGCGGCCCGAATCCCGAGCGATCGACGCTTCACCAGTCTTCTTTGCGATAATCTGTCCTTTTTCGAGGTCCATTAATGAAGTTCCACTTGCCATAGCCTAGAAGAGGCAGAAGTCATAATGATGAGAAGTTTCACCGAACAAAAATGAGATGCAGCCGGAAAATATGCGGTGGAACTATATTTTTGCTGCGTTGTCAGAACGACCATTTTTGAAAAAATTGACGAAAAAAATTGTTTTTTCAAGCTAGAGTTTGGTGTTGGCATGCGAATTGGTATTGGTAATTACCACATTTTCTGTATGGGGGCATTTTTGAAAACGTCGTGTAAGACGGGATTTTGTGAGATTCATGGGTGGAACTATGATTATGCTTCGCAGTGTATACTCCCTGTGAAACAGGGGAATTAGTAGTTGTGTGGATCTTTGGCAGACCCTCTCTCAAAAACGCCGAATTCGACTTCTCCCACTTGGTAGCCGTCCGTGAAACAAGAGAAATCAACTACCAAAAAAAATTTCAATACGACCCCCCCCCACTCTCTCGGGGTCGAATACGACCCCCTCCCCGTTGTGATCATCATAACGATAGCGTGCCCTGCTTTGAACTCTGGAAGACCTCGCTTTTACCATCGTGATTTAGGAAGTTTTCACAATTTTGCGTGGAAATGATTGAGCTTGAGAGGCATAGCTTTCTAACGGATTAAAGGCATGTTCCGCGATAAACTAAGGCTAGAACCTCATAAACGTGCATGATGATCAAGCAGGCAACAGTAGAGGATATGCTGCTTTTAAAAGTTGAAAAACAGCAAGCAAAACGCAGGCGCTCAGGTTTTAGGCCCATTGGCGCCCGATAGGCCCATGCCGGCCTCCAGTGACCGTGTCGTTGTCACTGCATTGCGCTCTCTCGCCCGTCATTTTCTGGCCTCTCTCGTCTCTTATCAGTGTATCGCCGCCTTTTGCAATCCACAATCGATCTTGACCACCTTACGCTCGTCCGGTGATCATGATCAATTGAAATAAAGAGGGTCTTATTGCGGGCGCTTTTTCGTGGTTCCTTCTCTTCAATAAGTCAACAATCACAGGGCAATTCTATTTTTGAACTGTATTACCTATGAAGTGTGGTCGCGTGGAGTTGCCTTTAAGAGCTTGAAACTCTTCCTGACTTTTATGATTGCTGCTACTACTTGTGGAAAACATATTACCTTAGCAAAAAAGTGTAGGTTATTGAACAATTTACAATACACAAGTTTTTCTTGTCGATTCGAGAAAATACTGCTTCCAGTAAATGGTAAGCAGTTTGAGTTTCGATTAAAGTTGTCTTCAATCTTGAAGTTGTCTTTACACTGCAAAATCTCACACAGGGCACTTTGAAGAACCTGCAGGGGGGGGGGTCGTAGTTGGTCGCTGGAGGCAGAGGATAGCATATAGTCTGAGAATTTTTTTAATAGTTGATTTTTGTTCCAGGGATTTACCTCGTTTGGGAGAGTGCTAAGGTCATATAGGAAAGAAATATTAAATATTTGAGAGAATTTGCTGCGTCGAGATGGGAAAAATTTTGGTCTGTTTTCTGGTTAACTCCTTGTTTAGTATGAGTTTTCGCTGTCGCTTCCCCCTTCCCTCCCTCCCGCCCGCTCGACGGCAAATTCTTGGGAAGAAGTGGGTAATTCTAGTGGTACCAAGGAAGATGTGGTGGAAACTTGAGGAACTCGGAGAAGGGAGTTTTAGAGAAGAGCCGTGTTTTCCGAGAAGTTTTTCCGCGGCAGGACGTGCCCTGATCAAACCTAAAGCGCAGCTACGACCACGTTTGAATGAAGCACTATGCAACTCCACTCCCCTTCGCCGGGGTATGAGTTGTACAGTTCCTATTGATTCCTTGGGAACAACCCAAGATTTTGTTTCCAGAACTTCCTTTCACCTTACATTGCAAAACAATACATAAACCTACTACGATACGATATAAGTTGAACACATGTTTAACCTGTTCCTCATTTTAAAGTGCTAATAATCCTCTCTGGAACAACTTTCGTGTAGTGATTTCATCATGAATCTGGTTCAGGGATGAAGATTTGGAGCTGTCCTATCGAATCTTTTGGCAGTGTGCTTTCAGCGACCCCAGACCCTTTGCAATATAATTCTTGTGATAGCATTTCAATTTCATTTCGATAACTTTTCTAGTTCCCCTACTACAAATCAAACCTATAATGCTGTATATGACGCAATAACGTTGTGCTGCAGGTTTGGCTGCGTTTCTGGAACAAGCTGCAAACTACGAAAGCTGACGTATCAGAGATTATGCTGCAAATTGTTGCCGCTTATGACCACTTGCAGAAGATTAGATTGTTGCGTAGCTTGTCTATTTATTCTATAGTAATTGAGGTATCAAAGGTCTTAGCACTCAGGTGACACAAGTGTAGCACATTTACTTGAGTAGTAAAAAGCTACTATTTCTCTTCTTGTCAATATACCGTGGAATTAATATTCAAAAAAACTTGGGGTTTTTTCACTTATCAAGATCTCTAATCAATGTCTTCTGTAAGTATATTCCTTCTGATAGGTCATGTCAGGTCCCACCACAAAAAGGAATAAGTGATCTCTTGTGAAGCTGCGAACTGGTATGAGACCACATTGGTAACAGGAAACAAAAGGTCTTCGCAAGTTGGTACAAGTTGTAAGTTGACCCAAACAAACCATAACGAGATGGCTATGGCCGTGCATTTTGGTGGATGTTTCTCTGTTGGTGACGCTTCATTATTACAGAATCCGCCTTTCTTTTCAGATGGTTTGAAGAGTAGAATGAGCATGAGCAGCTATCGCCTTTTTGCCATACCTTAATATTTACAAAAATTTCCACCTCTTTCAGAATGTGGTTCGCCTTCTGGAGTCGCACACGATGATCGTTGTTAATGAATCTATAGTATCCACTCCGAAATAGCCGGGACCTCAGGATCTCCGTTCTCCGCACAGTTGTTTTTTCTCATACACAGCAATCTGGTTCCTTAAGTACACTGATTTCGTAAAGAAAACTTCACAGTTCATCTGACTCAGCCCAAAACCAAAAAGCAACAGTCGATTCAACACAATGTGCACGTTCAAATTGTTTCATCAACGTACTCTCCTCATCATTACGGACTGTCGGGGCGTATCAGCCAGTAGGAGTGCGCACACTGTTTGAAGCCGTTCTCAGCCTTTTCGTTGAAACGCGTATGCGACAAAAAGTGGTAGAAAACGAGTAATACGAAGGATAATGCTGTCATGTCATTTGCTCGCTTCAACAACTGGTGCAGAAAGACTTTGGCACCGCGGAAAACGCAGCCGCACTGACCCGCCCCGACAGTCCGTAATGATGAGGAAAGTAGCAGCAGATGAACTGCCACACCTGTGCTGAAAATCATGGAAGACGATTTTATAGTCATTAGCGGACTGTAGGGGTTTTGGCGCCTGAGACTCCAGTTTCTACATGGGAACCATTGAAGCACCTGGCCAAGAGTCAATAATCCAAAAATGAACCGAAGGATCGAATATTCACTAACAGCAAGGGAAGTTAAATCTCTAGCCAGAGTTCATCAGGTATCCTCCCAAACAAAATGAGCCTCTCAGGTGGACTCTGGACGCATTGTTACCCATAAAGATCTAGTAGGCGATAAAGTGGTTAAACAGTCAAAACTCGACCTCAGCTCTTCCCGACTAAGAAAAAGGCAGAAGTTTCCTTATACGGTCCGTAGTTGATTCTACATAAGGCAGTCTCCATATGAAACGGGAAAAAGGACGCACCACCACGTCGCTTAGAACCTTTGCAGACTTCCCCAGGCTTCCCTTCCTAGTACTACCCTCTTCAACAGCCTGCCTCCCCTCTCAACATTTCCCCAAAAAATGCCGTCGATAAGGGGGAGGATGAACAGCGTGCGTAAAACGGACTCCACAAACAATGATCAACAGAGTCAGATAATTTCTTTCTTCGCCTAAGCACTTCCCGCACCCTCCCAGCGACCGAATACCACCCCCCCCCAACCCTCCTTTGTTTTTTTACACAATGGATAATGTGCCCTAGCACTCTGTTCCGCACAATGGATAATGTGCCCTAATTGGGGAGGCGCACGTACCTCATTTAAGCATGGCCCACGGTGCGTTTTTCGTAGGATGCTTCCATTTGAAGACAACTGCATCCTGTCTGGTGCTGGATAAATCGATGGTCACATACAAAACTATTCCATCAAATGCGCAGCCATCTCCACGATCAACTGCTTCCGCCACGCCCCTCCCATCTCCGGGATATGGGGCGTAAACTCTGCTGACGAGCGAGAAATCGCCCAGTATATGCACATATGGAGAAAACGTGAAAAAATCATTACTATTTGGACTAAATCTGTGAAACATGAAATGAAAGCATTGCTATGAACAGCACCGAATAATACCGATGGCATTGGATTGAACAGATCAAATTATGGAGCGATTGTATGTGATTATGGCAGAACAACTCTACTTTAGTAACAGATAACATCGGTCATATTTCGGCGTTTCATCAATTAACACCCAAACATCTATAAACTCTGTTCTACGTCATCAATACATACTACTTTCCTTTAACTTGAGCTACATAGAAGAACGATGCAAGGTATACGAGTGCAAATGCAGTTTCTCAAAGGCTACTTGTAATGAGAGTAATCGTGATGAGGGTACAAATGTGGAAGGGTAGTGTCACAGGGTAAATGCAACTTTAGACTATTTTGAAGCTCACACAATCAATGGTACTCGTAATGCTATTACTACTACACTACACACTACATTAACTATTTCTCTATTTCTCGTTCCACTGCTGTGCCTCGTATTCATCCTGTTCACTGTCATCCTCTGAGTCCGACTCATGAGGTGTGGTCGGACCGGAGACCGACGGCGTTCCTGGCGCTGATATTGGACGTGGAACCATCGCCATCGCATCCGATAAACGCATCTAAATATTTATCAGATGATCCTTCAACTGATGATCTACTCATGCTAGTGAAGGATAAAAAGATGAAAGTCTTTCTCGTTGACCAGGCTCTTTTCTGGGATGCGGCACGCATTCTACTTCCATTCAGAATAGTGGCTATTGAATGCGATGTGGCCTATACAATGACTTGCGGTGGCCAGCCGATGTACAAGTCAGTGTTTATCCTCCCAGACGAATCTGGTACCAATTTACCGTTCCCGGAGGGTAGAAGGCTTGGTTGGCCTGGGCGGGAGCCGATGAACCAAATCAAACAACTTTGATCCCTTTTTCCTTCCCTCCTCTACCCAAGGAAATGGCCCCGTTCCTTGTATCCATTGCTTCGTATAACCACAGAATTCGTGAACTAGAATTACAGAATCCCGGACCAGATAAGTATGCAGACAATGAGGCTCTAAAATATTCCAAACTTCTCGTTTCCCCCCCCCCCACAAGGTCCCCTCAAATGGGGAACCCTGCTAGTGCCACAGAGAAAAATTCAAATTCGCTTTCACGCACTCGCAAATAAATACAAATCCTCAACGAGTAAATTGAATCAATGAAGAACTGACTTCCAGATCCGGATGCCTCTTCTTCAGCGCCATTCTTCTCGCGTCTCGATAGAACTAAAAAATAATTTGCAGAATTGCAAATTGAACACGGGTACAAACTACTACGTACATTACTAAATAACCACACTAGAAAATGAGAGAAAAAGTAAATCTCAAGAATTTCTCCAAGCTAGTCGGAATCAATGAGAAAAATTGAAATCATCTATACAAATTCATTAAAAAAATTCAACACTATCGAACTATAACTACCTCAAAATCAGGAAAAAAAATGATTGCTGAAATTTAGCCTACACGAGTAATTCGCCGCCCTGATCACAAATAAGACATTCGCTTTTGTTGCTGGCGCCTTTTGGGATCACCATCTTTCTACGAAACTGATGGAAACTTGTATACGGGAGTTACACGAAACCCCGATTACGAATATGACATTCATTCCTGGCGCCAGCGCTATTGTAGGGCACCCTGATTGTCTGCGCTCTGCTAAGCCTCGACTTGGCGGGAAAGCAGTTACCGCTCCTCCCAGGCACAGCCTTAGCATAGGGCTAAATGGAGCTATGTCGAAAAGTGAATGCCACATTTAGTGATCAGGACGCCAAACAGCTATTGGGTAAGTTTTTATCAATTTCGGTGAAGAAGATACTGGCGTCAGATTTGCTCCTAACGGCGACGAATGGCAAGAGCGCCAAAAATGAATGTAGAATACGTGATCATGTCACCGAACTATCCTGAAGGTAAAGTTTCGGTGAAGAAAACTTCTTCGAGTTTTCGGGCGGTAGTAGAGCCAAAACTCCAACTCAGTGAGTATCCGTAGTAAAATTGGGGTCGTATTTCGATAATGACAATCGTCCCCCGATTAAACTGGCTGAGGGTTCGAAATAATAATAAAAAGACCCCAGAAAATGTCATATGGAACTGGAAGCTGTTCGATCCCTCTCCTACCCCTTTGCCCTCCAATTGCCGCCAATAAGCAGATGACATCCAGCTGGGTAACCCGCTCAAATCCTCTCGATGGCCTTCCCTAACCTAATGAGCATCATTGAGGTAATATGAACCAACCATTGACAGCGTCTTCCAATCGAGCAATTCACTCAAACGTTCTGTGCGATTACGGACAATTATACGTTGACGACGCGATAAACACCTGAAAAGAAATTACCTTCAACAATTCGGCCCCCACAAGAAAATGCTGATTAGTCAATAGCAAACCCCTTCAATATTCACCCTTTGCGCTCAACCTTTCGCGTTCCTCTCATTGACAAGCTCGAGCTCATTCTTCACACGTTAATGACCACATCTATTTGTAGCCAATCGCGACAGAGGTAGAAGGTGGGAGAGCATTTCTCTGATTTTCGGCCCTTTCACACACCCACGTTCACGTCATCTAACGTATTTGTTCTCGCGAAGTTTTCGAGGTGGAGCTGGGGTGTCTGCGCATTATTCAGCGCACTCGGCACTACCCCAGAACACTTTGAGTTCTTCACGAGAAGAGCAGCGTGGGAAGAAAACTCGAAAAAAAGCATATCCTTGCACTAGCCTCAGCTTTTGCGGATTTCTGAGCCGTGGAGAAAAAAAAATGGAATTTTGTATTTTTCCACACAGTGTTACAATTACACATATTCTCTTTCCGATACTTCTATTTTCATTAAAACACTCCGAAAATATTTAATTACTTTACTCGACTGGTCATTACGCTGCCTCCCCACAAACTCATATTAACATAACTTCAGACAAAAATGACTTTTCAAAAATTGCACTTCACTCACGTGAATTCATATAATCCCTCTGTGAGCTCATTGATCGATTCGTCAGCTCCTTTGAAACGGCGATCCACCACATGGATGCCGTAACTCTTTGCATCTGCCACGTGCTCGTTAATGAAGCAGCCAAAGCCGCTGAGATTAGTCGTGACCGACGGCACTCCCATTACTGTACATTCGGCTGAAATCTACTAATTTCATCAACAGTTTCGGCTACAAATTCATATTGAACAGTAGTTGGTAGAGGTGAGGAGAGGGGGGGGGGGCAGGAGGAGGAGCGTGACTTTAGGGTATGATGCGGTATCACATAAACATTCCTCAACGGGCTATTTTTCCCGAGGCTGTGTGACGATTCCAGCCCCCCCCCCACCCACACACACTCACTACGGATAATGAACTAGTGCTGATTCTCCGCCGCATGGAGCAGATATATAATAGTATTGTCGCAGATCCCTGATGTGCGGCCCAGGTCCTCGGATCTGTACAGCTCTAGTTGGCAAGGTGTACATCGTGGAGGTGAAGCGTTACTCCTTAGTCGCCAACACGCTTTCCTAGCTAGTTGACCAGTGAGACGCAGACACAGAGAGTCGACGCGCCGCGGCGCTGCCACGTTGAGGGGAATGGGTCACAGAGCGAATACTGCGAACGCTTTTTTCGTCGCAAATCGAGACTAGCTCTCCACATTCACGTATCCTTATCCTGCTAGTCTGGGCGTTACTCACCCCCCGACCAGCCGGATATTCCTTGCTAGTTCACAGGGCACGATGCGCCTCTGTCATCTTTTATCGATGGGGTCCTGATGCGAATAATTC